GATAACTGATTTAACCGATGAAATAAAGTGGTTACCCTGCCTTTGTGTGCAGTACGGCTCCGTTTAAGTTTGTCGAATTCCTCAGCGATTTTTTCCATGATGTATCCGTGAAATAATAGTAAAAACTTGCAAAATCCATGAAATTTCGGTGCTAGCAAGGCGTCGATATGTGTTACTAGTTCGAATCTTGCTAACCCTGCTCACTGAATAAAAAAAGTCAATAGATTGATGTGTAATTTATCTTTAATTCTTTAAAACGGTAACAGATAGTCTCAAATTTAGCGAGATATAAAAGTATGAAATATGGCTAACAATGGCTAACGTTCTCTGATCGCATGAAAACAAACTAACTGCGCAAGTGCAAACAATGTCAAAACGTCCTAACCCCCCCTTCCCTAAGTCAACGAACATAATATATGAAAATACAATTCACAAATAATGTAAATGTGATGATATATTTATCACATTTGTAACATCTTAGTATTAAATTTGGATTTTGATGTTTAGTTTGAGTGCTATCTTGCAATATATGGTAAAAATAGTGATAAACAGTAATGCGATATATTGATGGTAATATTAGAATAGTAGAGATAAGGTTGTAACCATTTTATTTCACTTTCTTGCTAGCTACAACATCATTATGCCACATTCCATGCTTTGTAATTTCTAAAGTAAGATAATAACTCATAGTACTAAATATTGTACTGAAACGGATGTGCTTTACTAACACATCCAAAGATTTCATAATAGGCTTCAAATGACTTGTCAGTTCTCTTGCAATATATCCTACTTTATTGTAATTTTCTGAAGCCATGAGATAAACATTCAGTAAATGTATATTATTCAAGATTTATGTCGAGAGTATCCTATAAAGTTATTCACCGACATGGCTTCTATAAATCAAAACATCAGTTTTACTCGAACAGTGATGCGACCTTTCAACTGCCACGGCTTTTATTATTATCAGGAGATATATCTACAAATCCAGGACCTATCAATGGCACACAAGCAAATGGAACTGAGAATTTAGATCATCTCAATTTCAAGCTCGAAGGAAAGGGACTTAAAATATGTCACCTGAATGTACGATCTCTTCCCCGCCATCTTGACGAGATACAAACACTGATACGGGTGAACAATTTTGACCTATTTCTCATGTGTGAATCCTGGCTTAACGATACTTGGCTAGACAGTGCTATTAACATTGATGGCTATGAAATATATCGATGTGATAGAACAAGGGGACAGAAAGGAGGTGGTGTAGCAATATTTATTAAGAATAACCTCATTTGTAAAAGAATTTCCCTGGACAATAATGCAGAGGACATAGAACAACATTCTGCTGGGCCAAAAACGGCATTTGTTGTTTTATACCGTCCTCCGAACTCCCCTGTTAGACTGTATAATAGCATTGCAAACTTGATCGAGGCTGCATCAAGCCAGTACAATGAAGTTGTGGTCGCCAGTGACTTTAACATTGACCTGTTTAAAAACACTGATGACAGATTATCTAAGGCATGAGTCAATAACTTATAGAAATTACAAACAATTCAATTAGCATGAGTTTCTAAAAGATTTAAACAATGTTCCATGGTCACTGTTGGATGCATTTAATGACGTAAACAAAATGCTTGCCACTTGGGAATCCCTTTTTATTAACATTGTAGATCAACACGCTCCCATTGTATCTCGCAGAATTAAAAACAAAAAACTTAATGAGTGGATGACCGCACAAATTATGCAACAGATATGCATCAGAGATGGATTAAAATCGCAGAGTAAATTGAATATTCTCGCCAGAGTAATGTATAAACGAGTGCGAAATCATGTGGTCAAACTCATTACCTAACTACTTTAAACAACAAATTATGGAGAATAAAGACAATGTCAAAAACCTTTGGAAAGTTCTAAAGCGTGTTGTACCAATTACGCCGTTACAAAAACAACCACAGCAAATTGAAGTAGATGGTAGGTTTATATCAGATCCGGTAGAAATCTCAAATGCTTTTAACCAATATTTTACATCACTTCCACAATCTATAAACTTGAATATAATGGCAGATAACCCTGAGATGACTGCTTATTTTGATGATTTACTCCATGAATTTATAGTGACCCGTTCAAGCAATTCTCCATCTCCTCTTTGAAATTCCACCGATCACGAAGGAAAGAGTCGAAATTGATATTAAAACTATCCCTTCTAACAAAGCAACGGGCTTAGACGGAATCAGCATTTGCCTTTTAAAAGCAGCCTTACCAGCAATATCTTCAAGTTTGGTAAATATATATAATGCTAGTATCACAAGTGAGATTTTCCCTGATGAATTCAAAAGAGCTGAAGTTACCCCCTGTCATAAAAAAGAATCGACCCACGAAAGAGGCAATTTTTGGCCAATCTCTGTTTTATCTATGCTCTCGAAACCACTTGAACGACATGTTTCATTATCATTTTGCGAGCACTTGAGATCCCATGATCTGCTGTATTTAAACCAATCCGGGTTTAGATCAAATCACTCGTGAAACTGCCCTTATTAACATAACTGACAAGTGGCTAAAAGCAATGGATGATGGTGAACTTATTGGGGCTGTCTTCATGGATTTTAGTAAGGCGTTTGATTCAGTCAATCATGATGTACTTCTAAGGAAACTTGCTAAATACCATATTAGTCAACAGGCCTTGCAGTGGTTTACATCCTATTTAGATGGTTGCTCTCAACAATGTTCTGTATTAGGATCACTTTCAAGTCCTCTGATGTTGGAACGAGGAGTTCCACAAGGATCGATATTGGGACCATTACTCTTTTCCATATATATAAATGACCTGCCAATGTCTCTTGGAGAAGCTAATGCGGATATTTATGCGGATGATACAACACTTTGGTCAAGTAGCAAGTCGTGTGATGAAATCCAGCAAACATTACATAACGCATTGGACATTACAGAACAATGGCTCACAGTCAACAATATGGTATCAAATACTACTAAATCAAAGAAATCATTGATTGGAACAGTGCAAAAACTTCATCATTCTGACAAAGATGAATTGGATCTCTACCTGAATGGAACTAAGCTCAGTGAGATCAAAAACGAAAAGCTTTTGGGAATCAAACTTGATAAACATTTAAAATGGAACAAACACATTGAGTATTTGATTAGAAAACTAAACTCTAGAATTTGTCTCCTGAAAAGGGCGAAAGAACATCTAACAATTCACTGTAGAAAGTTACTCTACAATGCGATTATAAAGAGTACTGCTGTACTGTTTGGGGCAATTGCTCCAAAGAACAACTCATCAGATTATTGAAAATCCAAAACGATGTGCAAGACTGATACTCAATGCTAATTTCCGCAATAACTCTGTCAAACTACTTACAGAATTAGGATGGCTTCCAATTTCCGACACTATAAACTGCCGAAAGCTTTATATGTTACATAAAATTAGTTTTGGGCATTGCCCAGATTATTTTTCGGAATACATAATACGTTATCTGAAAGATTTGCATAATTACAATACTAGAGCATCAACCAATAGAAATGCTGTAATACCTATACTTACAAAAAGGTATCAGGATCGCGAATGTTTCAAACAAGCACAATTCGCCTCTGGAACACGGTTGAAGTCTCTCTCCGAGACATGCTCTCACACAAACAATTTGTGAACAAATTAAAACAGAAGCGTCTACTAGAGAACGCTCAATTGCAACACTTTAGCATAGAGACTACATTTTAGTATATATTTTTTCTAAATTGTATTTATATATATTGTAGATAGGAGGCCCATAATGAAAACTATTGGGAAACCAATAATGTATGTTAGCCTTGTTAAATAAAGTCATATTATTATTAAACATGCAGCAATTGCATTGCTGTCGTTCACATTTTCTGGCTCCTCAACAAGTTTAGCAAAGACATGTCGGTTGTACTCATGAAGGTATGTGTATGCCTCTTCAAGTGCATCTTGCCGACTAGTCCAATAACATGTTGCCTTTAAAGGGTAGTGTATGCTCTCCACTGTAATCAACGGTTTCTTCACCAACATTCCGAACTTGCACTCTTGTAACTGACTGTATGGTGTTCTTTAATGGGCTTAGTGTCCATAGCACTACCAGGTCTTCATTATCCACCCTTATCGTGCAATGGCTTGAACAGCAAAATCTGCTTGTTTCAATGTCCTTGTTTACAACACCATTGCACTGCTGTCCATTGCTCAGTGTAAATTTTACTTTTTTAAAGTTTAAGGTTATAACTGGAAATGATGGAATTCTCTATGGGAATGAAGCATGTTTGATTGATGTAATTGTGACTTTAATCTCTGTAGTGTCATCTGCAAAATGAGTAAAGCATATATCTATATATCTCCTCAAAATTAACCATGTGAGGAAAAATTCACACCAAGTACACAAACATAAAGGATGAAAGGAAGCAAATTCAAGTTGAAAGGGCACTATGGATTTTGAAGTTTATTCGTCTTTATAGTCGCGTTTAGTCATAAGCATTGACATGATTGTAGATATATTTCTAAATTATTACTGCTTCACAGGCATGTCAGAAGTCAATCAACCCTCACAGATATAGTTAAATGTGTAATAAAATGCACCAACAGTGTTCATTTTGTCTTTATTATATTTTAGTACATGTGGATATTTCAAAAGATGAGCCTGTCACATTGCCAAAAAGTGCAACCAAAGAATTACGGAGCATAACTGTCATGAATGTTGACATTTATGAGACCTGCATAAGGAAATTGGAACCAAGGCAAATGATAAATGATAACATTATTAATATGCTGTTAAAGTAAGTGCTACTTTTGCAAAACAAGTAGGTCATACTAAGTGTAAATGCTACATGTGAGAATATTTTCCATTGCAGAGATTTCAAGGATTGCAAAATTCCATTTGTGAGCACATATTTTTATACTGCTCTATGTGGAGAACAAGGTTCCAATACATTGAGGTACATGTCTAGTTAATTCAAATTTATTATCTACTGTATATTACAATGAAAGACAACATTGGAAGCATTTAAGGTTTTTAGTGATTTTGATGCATTGTAAATATTATTAACTGGTGCTGTCTGCACCAATCCAAAATTACAAAATAGGGTTGGGCCTCTGTTTCTTGAAGAATCAGGTAAGAAGTTTTTGAAATCTGTTTTGATTATTCAAACTTTTACCACTATAGGCGGTGCTACGAGAATGCAGAAGTGTTCTTTAAACCAGAGTTATGGACAAATGATTTTTTATTCATACCAATAAACAGAAGGTAATATAAATTAAATAATGTATGTGTACCAACAATGATGCCCTTCCCTTTCCCTATTAGTTTTGCAACAAGGTACATATTGGTTAAATTGTATAATATTTTGTGTTTCAGTTACCACTGGCTATTGGCTGTCATCACTCCATGGTAAGAATCAAAAGTTTAAAACAAACATCTTAAACATTTCATGCCCAACGTTAAGTTAAAATTTGAGAAAAAATGATTTTTTGTAGGCATGTCCTCATAATGGATTCTTTAACTTGGGATATTGGAAGTAGGAGAAAGGAGTTTAGTCTCCTTTTCAGGTAAGATGCATTTGTATTATGATTTAGACATTTGTATCAAAATCAGCAGACCTGCCAAGTCTCACGATTTTTTATGCTTTCTCACGATTAAGTCCCCAAATCTCACAACTTTTGGGCAAAATCTCTGCTAAAACCACAAATGATTCTAAACACCTGTGGAAAAAAGAAATACATGCTATTATTTCATGATACTTGACACTGGAAACTACTGAAGCCATAAAAAAACCCAGCTTATTTTTAATAAGCCTTGCAATATGGTTATATTAACAAAATATAAATGCATACTATCCTAAGATTGAATACCTATTGATTATTTTCTAGTGTTGTTAAAGTGAACCCTGGTCATATTAATGAGCAAACCTAAAAATTTCTAAGTCTCGCGATTTTTCAGTCAATCTCACAACTTTTTAGATAGCAACTCACTATTTCTGCTACTCAGGGGTTGGCAGGTCTGAAAATGTGTTTTGTTACAAAGTTATTTTACAAAGTTGTTTTTTTATTCTATATAGATTCTTTGAGCATTTGTGCAAAAAAAACGCTTTGCTATGGTGGCCCATTGTTCTCGTTGAAAAAACACAAGATGAAAGGAACATTATGTAAAAAAAAATCAAAATAAAAAAAAAAATAATAAAAATAATAAAAAAATTAAAATAAAAAAAAAATTATATAAAAATAATAAAAAAATTAAAATAAAAAAAAATAATAAAAAAAAAATTTAAAAAATTAAAATACCATTAAAAAATAAAAATAACAAATAAATAAAATAAACAAAAAAAACACAAAAAAAAGAAAAAAAAGAAATGGGAACATGCCAATTTCAATTTGATTTTCACATGTTTCTAAACGAGAACAATGGGCCTTCAAAACGTGTTTTTAAATTCAAAACGAAATTCAAATGTTGCTATCAGCCCAGCATTCTCTGAGCCTGCGATTCATCTGGTCAGCGTTTTTCGCGCGTTTTAATGATTGTTTACTGTTTAGCGCCATTTCGTTTCGATTTTACCCTGATTTTACCTATTAAAGCCAGCAATTTCGTTATGAATGATTTATTATACTATTTTATATAAAGGGCATATTGTCTAAATAACTTCAGCGTATGTGAACAATGAAGTGCCAGGCCGCCTGGAATAAACTTAAGGAGCAGATGAGTGGTAAGAGAACCCGGAATGACGTATCACGTAAAAATAAGAATGGGTCAACACCACATGAAATCATTGTGCAGCGATTGGCGTCAGAAGCGGATAACAAACAGACGTATCGCCCTGTCCAACCGCGGGAGTTTGTCGACTTCGAGTTCGAAGATCTCTCCCTGGTCAACATAAAGAAAGCTTGCGCAGTACATTTCAATCTCCCTGCCAGTACTTGTGATGTCCTAGTGTCAAGCAAGGGTCCTTCCTGTACTCACATTTCGCAAATTCCCCATAGGAAAGATAAGGTATATATTTCGTTAGAATACTTATTGAAAGTAGATTATTTCCCAATAGATAATTCTTTTTCATGTATTTTTCTGTGGGGTCATTATGCACCTATTAATGTTAAGCCCCAGAGGGGGGGGGCAGTGATTTGTGAGGCGTTTGTGATTTTTTGTGCGAATTTGCAATAAAAAATTACTCTATTGCACTTACAGACTATATATAGTGGAGCTCCAGAAGGTCATAAAGACATCAAACATGGGTTATTTAATATGACATATTATGACATCCGCCCAAATTAGTTGTGGACACAAAATTGAAATACAGCACAATTTATTCTTACTTGCTAGAATTCTAGTTTGTATCTTTAACACAAACCGTTTTTGGATATGACCCTAATCAGTCAATTTGGAAAACAACACATTTGAGGTTTACCTGGGTGAACATTGAGTGGCGCCCAATTCTTGTTAACCAATGCAGACAATTAAAATGTGAAAAACAATTTTTCACAATAAAATAACCCTTTACAAAGCAAATCTACCATCATTGTGCTTATCCACCTGCACATAAGTGATGGATATTTCCATGCATATATTTGATTGTGAGAGTACTTATGGCTCCTGTCATGCATGCACAGAAAATGCATAACTTTATATATACCTGTACCATATACAGTATTACAAGTATTCATTATATATCATATAATATATATACTACAAAGCAGGACTTTTTGAATTTTTATTTCAAAAGGCCTATTTTAAATGTTTTGTGGTCAGCTTTGAAAGTAAATGTCAGTGGTTTGCATTAATTTTATATGTTTCTTATTTACAGGTATATCTTGTGAGATTTGTTGTTCTTCAGGAAGATCAAGTTGAACAAGAATATGAAATGAACACCAGTAAAGTTAACAACTTATCAACTCCCACACCAGGAAGTTTGTGCCAGAAGAAGCCTGAAGGAACAAAGATATATCCATCATCAATTTCAATTGCCTCATTGCTAAAAGCAGGTAAATTGGTAAAACCCCGAGAGAAAAACAAGGTAACTCTTGCTCTGGAAAATTTTGATGTGTCAACTCAGCAATGGGTAGAGGTAGCTGCTGAAGAATTTGCTATTGACATCCAGAAATTTTCTAGTGGTGCCTTTCGTGATGCATTTCGTGCCTCAACTATCAAGCCAACAAAATGTGAAGATTGGGTGGTGAAAACCTATAATGATGATGCAGTAAAAACCATACAAGAGACGGCCAATAGTTCTATAGAGGATCATTGCCGTAAACAGGTTCAAATGCACAGTGTGGCGAGGCACATTGCACAAAGGTTCAAGGCTAAAGCTCCACCGGGTTTTGGAGAGTGTTTTGATTACAACCGCTGCTATTATACAATGTACAAAAGCCAGTTACTGTTGAAGAGTATGTCCCTCGTTCATTTTATAAACTCATTAATAATGATGGAGAGTGTTTAACACCAACCAATGATTCAAGTCCCCACCTAAAAGAGCTATTTTCTAAAGCTGAATATGTTTGGTTCACTACAGTTATGTATCCACAAAAGAAAAATTGATGATTTTAGATATACAGGGTTCAGATTACACCCTGTATGATCTGGAAATTTCAACCGCTGAACTTTTTGATGGAGACACAGCAGAACTGTACTTTTGTTGTGGAAACTGTTCATCGATTGGAATACAAGCCTTCCTCAAATCACATAAGTGTAATGAATATTGTAAACTTATTGGTGTATGTGATAAATGATTGGGTGGATGTTAAAGACTTTATACAAAGCAATTGTTATAACATTGTTCATTTTAAAGTTTTGTTCACTCAGGCATGTTAATGCCTGGGTCTGCCCACGCTTGGATAATATCTTGCGCGCGTGTTGCACGCGCGATCTGTCAGTAATGCGTCTGTTAGAATATGCGCCCCTTGTGTGAGTATTTTAGTGAATTCGGGTGTTTGCTTCAAATCAAAATATAGTACATATGAGCGACAGGATTATTTTGGAATATACAATGCAAAGAAGTCGGTATACTATTCAGTTTTATGTAATAATTGGCTATTTGTATAGCAATAAGTATTGTATCATTTGCGACAGCTGACCTTTGAACTGCTGATAAATAAAAGCTTCTTATAGTGCGCTATCTTGCGATTATTCAGTATTAATTGTTGATTGTTTCTTATCTTCAATGAAAAATTGCTTGTGAATTATAAATTAATTATAGCACGTACAGTTTAGTCGGTCTTTTCCACCATGGCATGCTTCCCTTCAAGTATTAACTATGCTTCAAGATGTCGGCTTGAATGTGCAATGAATGTTGTTATTGGAAATATAATATCCCTTACAATAAGCGGCAGACTGTTCCACTATGGCGCGTGAAATTCATGAGCATTCGCTTCATGGACAAACTTTTAGTATTTGACTATGTTGTTCAAAGCATATAATGACAAAAGTTGTTTGGGGGATTACAATGGTGCCAATTAAATAATCAAAAATGCTATATACCGGTAGTTAAATTAATTACAGTCAAAATAATAATAATATGTTGTTTTTTGGGCAACCCCCCTCAAATTTAATTCTGCAGTCTGAATGGGATCAATCATGTCAAGGAATAAATTTACAATTACTTAGACTAATGCCACCAAATTGTCGATTGTAACTAGCAATTTGAACAAACTGCATGGTAACAGTGGCATAACCAGGGTCTTAAGTTGGGGAGGGGATTTTGAATACTGATTGCTAAGGTGTGAATACCACTAGAGGTGTGTGGGTTGCTCCCCAGAAAATGTTGAGTCCATCAAATACAAGAAATTATCTTTCACATACCCCTCTGAAATTCTATATGTGAAAGATAATTCCTTGTATTTGATGGACTCAACATTTTCTGGGAGCAACCCACACACCTCTAGTGGTATTCACACCTTCAACGATCGGTATTCAAAATCCCCTCCCCAACTTAAGACCCTGGTTATGCCACAGTTACCATACAGTTTGTTCAAATTGCTAATTACAATCAACAATTTGGTGACATTGGTCTAAGTAATTGTAAATTTATTCCTTGATATGATTGATCCATTCAGACTGCAGAAATTTGATATGAAAAATTGAAATCTAACTTCCCAAAAAAATACTGACCAGCTTCTCTGAAAACGTAAGTCAATGTATATATACATTACTATACAACCAACTCCATACAGTCCTGTGAGATTTATATTTGAGCCATTGTATTCACTGATAACTCGTTAACTTGACTGTAAATGGAGAGTCACAGTTATCAATTTCCTGCATCATTTCTATAATAATTTTTTAGGAAAATAAAAGTGGTTGCTGCATCTTGTGGTTTCACATTGTCCAATTCTGGAATAACCCTTTCACATCACTGTCTAACAACCTGTGACAAGTAATCATGCATCTCCTACATCCATTACTCCAGATAGTTGGGCAACTTCAACAGTAGCTTGTTTCCTCAGTTCAAAACCTGTTGATGAACAATCAAAAATCACCACATGAAAATGACAAAGTACTGTATTTCTGAAAGATTAATCATTCAATTATAATCCCATACCACAATGTTCAGCACCATATTTTTCTGGGAATGAATATAGATGTAAAGGAACACCTTTGGGCATTTGGGCATCCTTCTGACATCTCACCCTGTGCGAATTCCATATTGTGTCCTTGAAAATATTCAATTCCTTTTGTATGAGAGGGATGAAAACAAATGATATCAGATCCCTAATAGTAATCAAACAAAAATTAAACACCAGTTAATTTCCACACATCCATCACAATACTTTTGATCATAATAAGCATGCCTTTGACATTACCAGAATATTTTAGGAAATATTACATTATAAACTCTGCAATTTAATGGGTTAAGAAACTGTAGCCGCAGATTGGGTTTCAATTAAAATGCATACACTACACTAAGAATAATTTATAGCAATGAATAAACACATGCATGAAGCGAGAAAAGCGAGAACAGTATGTAAAGATGGCCAGACCACAAAACAAACCTACCGATCAGTTTGACAATCTGGATCATAATATCCCTGTTCAAGAAGCATCAGTAATTGTCTTTTAAAGAACTTCTCTAGACGGTGATGAATTTCTCGCCACCAACGCTCAATCTAATTCAATTAAAAAACTTTTTTGAAGTACAGACATAGAGTTATAAAAGGTCAATATTTGATTGTACCTTATTGTTAGTTGAAGGACCATAGTGCACAGTATCACCATCACTGGAGGAGGGGTCCGCATCCTTAATTAGGAATGCATGTATAGTGGACATATCTACAGTCTCAGTCCCTCTATCCAATCTTAAGTGCTTGCTTATAACTGTAAACAAGAATTGTTTTGTTATTAGAAAAAAATTTTGATGGGTAAAATAAATATTAAAATATAAAAGTAAAATATATATTAAAGTTTTTATGCTGGGAGTGCATGCAATTCTTATGAAGCAATGACCACTATAACTAGCTCTATAAGGGAGGGGGTACAAAATATTGCTTCATTCATAAAACCTTTTATACATAAGTAGAGAGAGAGGATGATTAATTTTAGTGAAAATTTTTACCAGGCCAGGGACAAACGAATTGCATAAAGTATATTATTTGTACAGTTAGTATATATTAATTAAATTACCTCTTGTATTATAAAGATGCTCCAAATACCATCGTCCAACAAGCTTGGGGTTAGAATTTGAACTCTACAATTTCAAATATAGGATGTAACCACTAAATACATCTTGCATACCATAAACTGCCAGGGGAAAGGTGTCTTTCATAAATCCCATTAGCTTATCATGTCCATCGCAAGAATGTGTATGATTAGGTCCCTATTTTTAATTAAGTTTTTTTAAATTTCGTTATAATATTCCACATAAAATATTTATTTGGGGTGTGTTTTGAAGTATGTACTTACTATCAAATGCCACTTAAAATAAGCATTAATGCCCATCTGAATATATGTAAAAGAGCCATAGCAAAAATATAGTTTTAATAAAACATTTTATGGAAAGCTATTAACGTTTCTTCTTTAACTTAAGACATATATTCAATGTCATCACTTTCTATGTCATTGCTGTCATTAAATGTTTTGAACTATATTTTTTGTTATGGCCCTTTTACCTATTTTCATCTGCAATGCCACATTGGTAATGTCTATGACTCTATGGAGTTCTGCTTTGGTACATGCTGGATATTGGGTTAATAGAAATGTGTCTAATAACCTATTAACTATATAATAACCTATTCATCTACCAAGCACCAAAAGCAGAACTCCATCTTTGTTACAATTCTATTTTTTATAGCATTGAATAGAAATTTCTTACCAGTGACGTGAAGGTGCCAGTTGCTCCCCTTCTTCGTTTTTTCTTTCCAATATTGCCACGCCTTTCAAGCCCTTCTGCATCTACGAACTTTCAAGCCCATCTGCATCTACAAACCAGATTACGCGGTACAGCTAGGTTATGCTGTTCTCTAAGTTTTTTATGAACTGCACGGTATCCTAACAACTGTCCAGGACCCTCTAATTCTTTGCGAACCCCATCAGTCACGACATCGACATCAATGTCATATTGTATGTACCTAATATCGAAAACGCCAGCCTTCTACTAAGAGTTCCCAAGCTCCATGCATATTGGGGATAATCACGGGAAACAAAGTCCAAAAGCTCTTTTCTACTCAACTTTTGCAAAACGTAATCACGGAGATCGGCCCTAAGTTGTTCATCTTCTTCCCAGTCAGTATTCCTTATATTGATCGCCATCTTGAAAGATCAAAATTTAAAATTCCGCGCCCGCAATCCCGCATCGCAGGTTGGTGTACGAGTTCGTCAAGTTGGCGCCAAAAATAAAATATACACCAAACTTCAAATGCCAAAGCCAAATTTACCGTACCCCTTCAGTCCCCCAGTAGTTCCGGCCTGATTAAGAGTTCTATACGAAGTATGAACATTAATATATTTTAAAACTAATGTAAATGCTGTTGTTATACAAAAGTAAAAAGCCGACCTTTGTTTAGCCATTTGCCTGTAAATTGCACACCTTGTTTGTTTTGGATACCAATATTATCTCTCTGGGCTCCATGTAATCATCAACCAAAAACATGATGCATGATTTAGAGTGTATTATTAAGTATATACTCGGGTAACAGTGTTACAAGTGTTACACTATCTTTATTTAGGGTTCGGTTAGGGGTTGGGTTAGGGTTTGTGTGTGTAACACTATGTAACACTACGTAGCACTGGAACACTATGTAAGAATATGTAACATTGTTTAACACTGTGTAACACTTGTATAACAGTGTTACAACTGAGTGCCATAATAAAGCCACTCTAAATCATGCATGGTATAACCAAAAAATAACACCAAATAAATAATAAAATTGATCTTCTTCATGCATACTATATCTAAAATTAATCAACCATTAATTTAAAGACCAAAACCATCTATCACCTTATTAAAACATTAATACTCTAACTATATAACACAATGTAAAATATGATTTTCAGTTGAGGCAATTACATAGATATGTTCACAAAATAACCCTGGCTGTTCAAGAGCATTTAATTATATGATCAAATACGAATTATTTCAAATTTACATGAAACAATGGTGTGTCACTATTTTTTATGAGGTATAGCCAGTTTGCCACATTTCACTAGAGAAGGTAATAGAAACGGAGGCAGGATATTTTTTATGACTTTCAAGTTTTGTGCTGGACTCTCCCGTTGCTATGGAATTGCTGAACTCTTTAGCATGATTATGGGACGTTTCTTTATTTTGGTTTGGTGTATTGGTCACAATATTCACAGAAGAAGATACAAGTTCAATTCCATTGTAACTGAGTTTACAATAATATATTCCTGGTTCATCATTGACAAGAACTCTCCGAAGTGAATGGGACTCCCGTTATGGAACCATGTATACATCGTTCCCTGCTTATTGTGCACATTAGTAATGACACCCAGAAAGAAATCATCATCTTGGTAACCATTTATCAAATCTGGGCCATGGATAATCACTGGGCCACTGGCAGTGTGCACATCAGCTGTTGGTAGTGAGTATGAAATCGTCCCCTGATTCTCATCTTCTTTACAACAGTCATCCCGTCTAAGGTAAACAGTATCGTTAACTGTTACACCACTCAGTAGGAATCTATCAAGTAGTGGTATATATTCCTTATTGTCGTAGTCTAGACAATTCTCCGATCGACAATCGTAAGCAGACTCCCACCTGATCAATAAAAGCATACTGGAACATTCCGAGTATTTTGATTTAGTTATCAACACCAATTCAATCTCGATAATATTCGGCCTTTTCTGTCCTTGTACCCGAAATTGGAAGATATTTTCATTCATAACGAAATCGTAGAATGCTGGCTTTAACACTATAAAGTAAAATCGAAACGAAATGGCGCTAAACAATGCGCTAAACAGTAAACAATCATTAAAACGCGCGAAAAACGCTGACCAGATGAATCGCAGGCTAAGAGAACACTGGGCTGATAGCAACATTTGAATTTCGTTTTGAATTTAAAAACATGTTTTGACGGCCCATTGTTCTCGTTTAGAAACATGTGAAAATCAAATTGAAATTGGCATGTTCCCATTTCTTTTTTATTTTTATTTTTTTTGTGTTTTTTTTTGTTTATTTTATTTATTTGTTATTTTTATTTTTTAATGGTTTTTAATTTTTAAATTTTTTTTTTATTATTTTTTTTATTTTAATTTTATTATTTTTTTATAATTTTATTTTATTTTAATTTTTTTATTATTTTTTTATTATTTTTATTATTTTTTTTATTATTTTTTTTTATTTTGATTTTTTTTACATAATGTTCCTTTCATCTTGTGTTTTTTCAACGAGAACGATGGGCCACCATACTTTGCCAAGGAAACACTTAAAGCTTTCAAACACAGTTCTAAAAGTAACTATTTTTGCTGATGTTGATTTTATGCACTCATTAATTCCAAAATCTTTTTAAAGCTACTGTAGTTCCAAGATGATTTTTTCTTAATATCAGGTACCCCAACAAGAGGTCTCAAGCAATAACTGTGGTTTTCATCTCGTCCTGTTTGTTGAAAATTTTCTGAAGGTATGGCGATAGAAATTAGAATAGAACTCTCTGACATTTTTGTATGAAGTTGGTTTTTATTACACTGTATGTACCACTAGTAAATTGTCTTATTTTCTTCATTAGGATTTGGAATTTTACAGTGCAAAAAGAGAGCAGTACTGCAATCAAGTGCACAAATGGTTTGATACTGAGAAGGCTGAAGAAAAAAGAACACAAACAAGAGAGTTTTTGAATGATTTAATGAATAAGAAATATTTGAATTAACTTGAAAGACTCCATTCATCGATACTGACACTGTCAATGAAAAGACTTCAAAGTTCTGTCATTGTCATCACTCTCTTGTGAGTAGTCATTGCCACCTTGGTCATAATTTTCACTGTCCCATTCTTCGCTATCAGAATCACTATCATGATCAATAATGGTTGGACTCAAGTTGACAAGACAAGCACATACTCGGATGATAGAGCTTGCATATGGTTTTAAAGTGAGTGGTATGACCCCACGAATTAGTTGAAAGCATTTCAACTTCCTAATCATTCGCTCAACATGGACACGTGATTTAGCTATTCGTCTTGTCATGGTTGTTGCCTTTGCCGAGACCTTGCCCTTGCTCATAATATAATCGGTGGAGCAAGCAGACGGACATATTTTAATGCAAAAATATCTTGCACATTAAAACCTTTGTCAGCCATAATGACGTCACCAGGATTTAACTGTTCTATAAAACCACATTCTTTTGTAAGCTGCTTATCACTAATTCTTCCACTGTACAGATTTGATACAAAGTTAATACGAGGGACAGGTGATATTGATATAAACAGCTTGAATGTATTCCTAGATTTATAGGTACTGTATGTCGACCTTTGGCTCGAGATCCGGGTAGGCTTTTCAATATAAAATTCGGTACAATCAATTATTCTTCTCAAGTGTGCAAATCCCCTCAAAGATGCTGGAATTTGAATGTCATTTATTTCAGCCACTGTTGGAAATGATAACAAAAAAGACAACTCCTTTGCTAAAAATAGTATCCAAGTTATGAAAATTCGGCTGGCTGTTCCAGGGGCAATATCAAACAAGTCTCCTAACATAATCATGCTTGGATTTCTTCTTAGCCTCACCAAAGTCAAAAGAAGTTGTTCCCAGGTGGTTAGTTTTCTTAAGTTGTACTTGTTCTAAAAATAAGAAAAAAATACAGCTTAGAACTGAATACTGTGATGGACAGAATCCTTAACTCTTTTAAAGCACGGCCATTAAAGTTAGTACGTGCACGTACTAAGTCTGTTTCATTCATATCTTCGGTTCAGTAAACGTTATGTAGATGAAAATACCACCATTCGATTCAGTGTAAAAATATATACTAGTTTATAACGATAGTTTTAGTCAATGGCTACATTGTAGCGATTTATAAGCTTTGAAAGTCAAACAGGCTTATATATGATCAAATTACGCAATATTACTAACAAATTATAAACATAGACATACCTTTCGCCGAACATAACTTTCGCCGAACATAACTTCGGCCCCTTGAGACGTATGCTCATTCTTGTATTCTTGATGAATGAAGCAGTTAAAAATAACACGTATAGTGTTATTTTCAAGCTTCTATCTTTAAAACGTGAGTATTCTTGCCGAATTTTGCATTTCTGCCCGAATTTGCGTTAATCCCAAACCGGAAATACGACGAAAAACCGTCAAAACAATGCGTAGTTTGTATCGCGTGACTTTGGAAATGCCAGAAATGGATTCTACAGGTCAAAGTGCACCCATAGCGTGAGTTTGACGTCATCCCGGCTAAAGGGAGCTCCTTATTGGCCAAGTATTACGTAATACAAGCGCGTGCAAGTAAAACCCGATACCTTGAAAAATTCAAAATAAATATTTCTACTCGCCGTATTCATACGAAACTTTCTACACTAAAGCGCTTGAATACAAAGAGTATTTTGCACATATATCCTTTCAGAAAATGACGCCAAATTTTAGAATATATTCAACTTTTTCTCTTTTTCCCGTTTGAATGTTTGGCGAAGCCGTGAGTATAAATATATGATTGTTTCGGTTTGTGTAATGTTTTGATGGCACTTGACCCCCCGTTCGAAAGGTTATATTGTGAGGATTTCAATGGTGGCATTTATTTAAAAGGGGGGTAAATACTCGCCGAGATATTTATATTAGAAAAATTGTATCGAAATGTAATACGAAACCGGTTGTCGAGAAAGAGTTAAATAGTATTGCTAGTTGGCAAATAAACCAAGTTAGTGTGCATCTTAGTAATTTTTCATACACTAACTTGCAATAAACCTTAAAACTAACTTTTCATGAATAAGAATTTTAGAAATTTGCTATCAAAGTAACTTTCATGAAATGCATGCAATGACAATGATGACCTTCAAATGTCCAGGTTGAGCATTTTTAAGTCTTGTCCATTTTACTCCTTTCCACATATATAATTTGTTTGCTTTCTCCTTGATAAGATCATACAAAGCTTTCAATACTTCAAGGTTTAACCCTACGTAACAAAAGAATAAACAGTCAGTCGTGAATGTCAAAATGTGAAAGGGTTTTTCATTTACCGTGCTCTCTCTATTTACCCCCTCCCCTCAAATGTTTCCAACTTCCCTAGTTTCATTTGTAGAGGGGTATGTGTGGTTGCACGTACCTGTATAATGGACACATTTTTTTGGGTCAGTTATTTTCTGAATAAATGATGTCTTCACGATAACACTGCCACCTTTAAATCCATCACTTGGCAAAGCAGGTTGGTTGTTGAAAAAGTGCCTATTGGTATTGTCTTTAGATTCACTTTGGAACTATCAAAATCAAATAAATTACACCTGTGAACTATGATTGCATATAGAGTTACATGATAGTGATACACATGGGCTGCACAATAATAAGGCACATTAGCTCAAAAGATTGCAAGAAAAGGCAATAACCATTGTTTACTAGTTCAAGCCAGTACATACTGGCAAACATAGATATATATCTTATTACCATTCAGTTTTAAATCTACAGCTGCACTAGATAGCATTTGGGTTCAAGGGAACTGACATTTTTTGGACCGTGTATGTATAATACTTACCATGTCCGCTTTTCCCACGTCAGTTTTAACAATCTTTTCATCTGAAGAGCTTTCGTTTGAAACAACTTCAATTTTATGCGAGCCTGGACACTGATTTATAGCTGTAGCAAAGCTGTGTGAGTCAGGACCATTAGTATTGTTCTCAACGTCGTTTTGTGCTAGGCTTTCCGGCTGTGCATGGAGAAAGCTTTCACTAGGTGAATGTAAAGCTTCTGTTGCGGACATTTCAAACATTTTTTTAAAACGTTTGCCGTATGTCGAGGTTTTGGTGGCTTCCTTTTTCGTCGTAAACGTTCGATCTGTATAAAATATAAAACAAAAGTCAAAACATATTATTGAATACCCCACGTGCAGGTCATTAGTAGAAAAGCAAATATATTGATTATAAAATGTAACTTACTTTATTCCCATCAGCTGTAGCTGGTATCGGATCAAGATAATCAGCTGTGGGTCCATTTTCGCCAATAAAATGAAAACCGCATATATAGCTGTCTTTCCGACAGACGAATTTGTCGCCTCGACAACATGCATTTATCCAAATTTGCCTTCTTTCTTTAGATTTCTTCTCACTTGGGAAACTGTAGAAAGATACTGAAGTCCCATTGTCCTTTTTTAAGCGTGCTGGATACCTCGAATCACTTTTGCATGTTCCCCAAGCACATCTCTTCACCATAATTTGTGAATCGCTTTATAGTATGATCGAGGATTCGAGGCCGTCGAGCGAAATATATCCCTATATTTTCGTACCCACACAACGGGAATTTTTCTCTTCACTACATATTACACTTACAGGAGTTAAATATACCCACAAATACAAAATCCTTTCAAATCATCCTTATTTTGCGATATTTTCGCTTGTTTATATCGCACACGTGTATACACTTTGAATAGCGGAGTGCGAAAGTTGTCCGAAAAAATGCAAAATTGGTCATGTGACAGCAACATATTTTTCATCGCAGTAAACGTGGATTCTTCTCAGTTCCATTCACAGCTCACTAGTCGCTGTGAGTAATCACTGTGCTTGATATAATTTGTACTGTTTACTGTAGTTCTATTTGCTTTTAATGCCCGCAGCAATCCCTACCTTGCAGGTACCCTAGTTATAGTTCTATTAAACAAACCAAAAGGAACCAAAACGGAAAATTACTTGCGCGAATTTAAAGCTGCACGAACAAGTTTCGCGAAATTGGAATGCGCGAATTTAAAGCTGAACGAAAATGAGTATACAACGCGAATTTTAATACAAGTAAGGTATACAATACATGGATTTGAAACATCTAACCATATATTTATGATACGTTATCCCAGGAAGCAGGCT